TCTTTAGCTGAAATCATAAGGGGAATATATTCCTGTAGGCCCACAGTACAATCCTCCTCAGTTAAATTAGGGACATCTCTCTTCCAGGCAAGGTAGGTCTGCTAGTGATGCCCCTGCAGGTCAACCTTAAAAGATAGAGGTCTATCTGTAGTACGCATCATCAGGAGTTTCTTAACCGAGTGGGAAGCTAGGTCTATGGGAGCAGGGAACTGCGCACTCACCGCGTCTCAGCTGTAGATATCTGAAGTACATCCAGGGAGGAAGGCAAAAACGACGCTTCAGCTCCATAAGTAGAGAAAGACGTCCTTCCAGCATAACATGTCTCAAGGTCTGAATGTCATATCCGAGCATAAATCCTGTCTGATCCCTATGTACCAAGGAGAGGATCACCTTATTAAGATGGGTGGCTAGGGCTTTTTGGTAAGGATCTTGGCATCCACATTTAAAAGTGAATTGGGCCTGAAAGAGGAACAGAGTTCTGGGTCCTTTCCTGGGTTGGGGACAGCAACTATAATAGCTCTCAACATAGAGGGTGGTAAGGAGGAGGCAAGCAGCGAAGCATTCATCACCTCATGCAGTCTATCAGCAAGAATATCACTGTGAGTCCTGAAAAACTTGGCCGGAAGGCCATCGTTCCCAGGGGTTTTACAGTCTGCAGGGATGCAATAGCAACATGAATTTCCTTAAGGGTGGGCGGAGTTTCAAGTCTCTGACAGGCCACCTCAGAGAGTACTGGAAACCAAACAGACTCCAGGAAGGCCCAGAGATCGGTAGCCGAGTGAACAACTCTAGAAGAATATAGAAGAAGCAAAACAAGAATTAATTTCTCTATGATCAGACACCAGTCGTCCATTCGCATCTGATATTGGAAGTAGAGGACACCTGCTCCCTAAAAAGCCATGCCAGCAGACGTCCAGTCCGCTCACCCTGTTCAAAAATTTGTTGAGATTGATGTAGCAAGTGTTTCTTAGCTGCTGAAACTCTAAGAAGTGTGATGTCACGCAATGCCCCCTGCATATCACAGCGAAGCCCTTCATCCCTGGAAGCCAAGTACTGAGCCTCCAATTCTCCAACCTGAGCCTCAAGCTGCTCTAGCTCTGCCTTAGTGTTCCGATGAGCAAGGGGGCACTCTTTAAATCTGGAGGAAAAGAGATTTAATTTCTAAATACAGAATGGCTTCTTAACAGTAAGAACTGTGAAAATGTGGAATAGACTCCCTCAAGAGCTGGTTCTGGCCAGCTCAGGAAATTGTTTTAAAAAAGGCCTGGACGCATTCCTACATTCACAAAATGTAACTGGAAACTATTATTTATAAGTGTAGCACTACCCCCTCAAGGGCCACTGAGTAATTTTCAGATTCCCTGTCAGTCTTGACCCCGCTCTGGAAGCCCAACCCCTGCTGACACCACCTTAAACCTCTGGCCAGAAGAATCCTCTGTCTGCAACCATAAAATAGACTCACACACAGTTTAGAGTGAACTAATATTTTGGGTGTATTGAAATCAAATGTAGGCAAAGTAAAGCAACAGGAAAATATGTGCATAAGATAACAGCTGTCACTCTAGTAACTTCAAATATGGTCACAACATAGCATTATCTCAATCAGTTCTAGAGGTCCTGCAATTCAGAATTTAAACGATAGCCCCAGTCCTGAGATGTTTCCTCCCCAGTGAGTAAAAAAAAACCTTGCAGGACTGTCTGCCAGACTTGTCAGCGGTGTCAGAGTCAGAGGTCTGCAACTCTCTCTCTCTCCTCCTCTTCTCTCTACAGTCTGGCCCAGCTTGGACCTCTGGCATCCCGCATGATCTTCTCCTTACACTTGCTCTCCAGCTCTCTCTTCCTGTCCTCCAGTTCCTGGGCTTCTGTATTTATCTGCCCCCACCCAACCGACAGCTCCTCTGGGAAATGTACTTTGTTAACTCTATGTCAGACAGTGAAGTCCTGCACCCAGCCTACAAATCCCACAAAGCTTTTCAGTCTGTGTAATTGGGCTGCAGGGCACTGCCATCTTGTGTCCATTTAACATCCTGCAAACAGTATTACGGCAGGGTGTTACACAAGCAAAGTTGATCCAGGGAATATCCAATTGTCTCTTATGGGATCAGGAAGGAACTTTTTCCTCCACTGGAGCAAATTGGACCATGCTTATTTGGATTGTGTATATGGATATTCTACTTTTTTTTTTATTGCTGTTGGTTAAACTAGATGGACTTGTATCTTTCCTCAACCAGACTAACTATGTAACTATTATAACACTGGTTCTGTTTTATGACAGGGCAACCATTGAAGATTACTCAGAACTGTATTTTTAGATCTGGATAAGAGTGAGCTTGAGGAACCTGGATCAAATTCAAAACTGCATTTATTTATTACAGGTACTAACCCTCAAGGAGTGTACAATCTAAGGTCTCTAACTCACAATCATACATACAGTACACATACTAGGGCCAATTTAGACAGGAGCCAATCGACCTATCAGCAAGTCGTTGGAGTGTGTAGGAAACCCACGCAGGCACAGGGAGAACATGCAAACTCCAGGCAGGCAGTGCCGTGGTTGGGATTCAAACCAATGACCCTAGTGCTGCAGGGCAGAAGTGTTAACCACTTATGCACTGCGCTGCACAGTTTGTGGACCTCAAATAAACAGGATAAGTGCTGCTTTCTGTTAATTGCCCAGTGTCACAAAAAAGTGCACTGAGGACTGACTTCAACCCTTCTGTAATGGAAACTTCACAGTTTAGTTTTCCATAAATTACTTTCTAAAGTGTCTCCCTTCTACCCCAGGCCCCATAGAAGCCACCTTGGCTGCTATGGCTATTGTTATGCCACTGCTTTCAAATAGAAATAAAAAGGGCTGAGATCACTGAGATAGACTGGTGTAGGAATATGTCTACATCAAGGAAAGCTCCTATTTCTTGGGGAATGGAGTCTCTGTCAAATAGGTAGATAGCGCGTGCCTGTAAAATTGTGTTCTGTGGCAGTCCCTCTAGAGGGTCAAAGAGAAGCATATCTGTTCTGCTAAAGTCTGAAGTGCTACAAAGAGAATTTATTGCTTTGTTAATGAGCTCTGGCAGTGAAACAGCTGTTGTACATGTTGCATGCAACCTTCACAGCATAATGAGAACTTTGTAGCACCGCCATACCGCTTTGTCTGTCCCAGGACTCTCAATGTGTTAGGTCTATGTGCACAAACCTGGAAGAATAGGTACATTTTAAAGTGAATGTCTACTGTGCATTTGATGGATCTTATTTCCCATAGGATGTCTGACAGGTATTACAGCAGATCTATGCTCAGAATAATATACTGCTTTTTCTGTTTCTATAAATTTTTATTGACGGTTTACAATATTGAAGCAATGTAAGAATTTGTAACAGTCACATCAAGTTAAATAGTATATTGCCAGGAAGTTAAGACATACAGCCATGGACAACCTATACAACCTGTATGGTGCAATGGTCACTTGATGTAGAATGGTGCTGTGTTTGATACTTCATAAGGGCCATAAAGATGAAGGTTGTAAGTGGTGGTAGAAGGAGGTCAACAGGTTGGGAACATAATCAAAATGAAGAAAGAAAGGAGAAAAGGGAAAGATTCTGATGGCGAGTGTTAACAACAAGGATAACAAGGGTACGGATTAGGGAGGAAACCAGGGGACCAATCTATGCCAACAGTCAACACGGAATGGGTCACTGTGGGGATGATCCATTCACAAGGCACACAATGGCAGGTTGAAATCTCTAGAGAGGGAATATTTAACCCCTGAGGTCCAAATCCATTCAAGTTTTTTAAAGAATTTCTCATGGATTAAAAGCCATCTCAATATACATGCTGCTAAAGAAAGAAAAATCCATGTTTTCTGAACTTTCTGAATACAGGAAGAAAGAATGAAGGGAATGGTCTAGAAATTTATGGCCAGTTTAAGACATACACTATATTGCCAAAAGTATTAGGAAGCCTGCCATTACGTGCACATGAACTTTACTGGCATCCCAGTCTTAGTCCGTAGGGTTCAATATTGAGTTGGCCCAGCCTTTGCAGCTATAACAGCTTCAGCTCTTCTGGGAAGGCTGTCCACAAGGTTTAGGAGTGTGTCTTTGGGAATGTTTGACCATTCTTCCAGAAGCGCATTTGTGAGGTCAGGCTCTGATGTCAGATGAGAAGGCCTGGCTTGCAGTCTCCACTCTAATTCTTCCCAAAGGTGTTCTTTTGGGTTGAGGTCAGTACTCTGTACAGGCCAGTCAAGTTCCTCCACTCCAAACTTGCTCATCCATGTCTTTATGGACCTTGCTTTGTGCACTGGAACAGGAAGGGGCCATCCCCTAAACTGTTCCCACAAAGTTGGGAAATTATCCAAAATGTCTTGGTATGCTGATGCCTTAAGAGTTCCCTTCACTGGAATGAAGGGGCCAAGCCCATCCCCTGAAAGACACAACCCCACATCATAATCCCCACTCCACAAAACTTTACACTTGGCACAATGCAGTCAGGAAAGTACTTTTCTCCTGGCAACTGGAAAACCCAGACACATCCATTGGATTGCCAGACAGAGAAGCGTTATTGGTCACTCCAGAAAACACATTTTCAGTGCTTTAGAGTTCAGTGGCAGTTTTACACCACTGCATCTGATACTTTGCATTGCACTTGGTGATGTATGGCTTGGATGCAGCTGCTTGGCCATGGAAACCCATTCCATGAAGCTCTGTATGCACTGTTGTTGTGGTAATCTGAAGGCCACATGAAGTTTAGAGGTCTTTAGCCAATGACTCTGCAGACAGTTGGCGACTTCTGCACACTGTGCGCTTCAGCATGTGCTGTCCCCACTCTGTCATTTTATGTGGCCTACCACTTCATGGCTGAGTTGCTGTTGTTCCCAGTTGCTTCCACTTTTGTTATAATACCACTAACAGTTGACCGTGGAATATTTAGTAGCAAGGAAATTTCATGGATGGACTTATTGCACAGGTGGTAACCTATCATGGTACCACGGTTGAATTCACTGAGCTCCGAGAGCGACCCATTCTTTCACAAACATTTGTAGAAGCAGTCTGCAGGCCTAGGTGCTTGATTTTATACACCACTGGCCATGGAGGTGATTGGAAGACCTGAATCCAATGATTTGGAGGGCTGTCCCAATACTTTTGGCAATATAATGTACGTTGAAAAGTGTATCGATTTTAGTTAATTGAAAGTATCCATGCACATGAGATGACAATCACCTGATCTTGTCAAAAAGGGACTTTTTCCTGCCTGTGGGTAAACTGCAGACACACTTAACAGCCTGCTATTGGAATAAAAGGACAATTGGGCTGTTTAGAAAACCCTTACTTATTTGATTTTTCCCCATCTAATAAGTCAGTAGCACAAGATGTTGAGTACTTTCTTTTTTCTTTCTATAGATTTTCATGCCTAAATAACTACAAAACATTACTGATTGACAGGAAAGCTCTGCACATGCCTGAGTGTGATTGGATCATGCCTAAATGCCTAACTGGCCCATAAAGGGCATCTTAATATATTAAAGGGTATAGTCTTCTAAAATGTGGCATGATAAAATACTATACAGTTGTAGATATTTACCACTGAAAATCCCTTCCATCAGTGAAGTCAAAGCATTCTAACATTATTACATTTAAATCCAAATCATTGAATAGTAAGCCCAAAACTAAGAGAACATCTATATACTTGGTGTCAATTTAAATGATATGGAAAATCACTTGTGTTTCGACCCTCCTCCTGCTTTGTATGAGATGATGGGAGAACAGTGTGCTCAGCTCTTTTGGAGAGGACAGGAAAGATGCAGTTTGCTGCAGTACAATATGACATCTGGCATATACCACCTGCTGTGAAGGAAGTCTTATAGAAAGTGCTTATATTTTAATGGTCAGTACCTGTGTAACTGTGGAAACCTGAAACACGATTTTCATGATGTTGTAATGTATTAATTGGACTAAAGGAACAAGTTCTAGATGCAGTTGTGTTTTCATCTTTCATGTAAAGTCCGAGAAAGACTTCTTGATGAGCTGAGGGGCATTAATTAATTTTTGTAAGTCATTTTTATAAGAATCATATGCATTGCACTCCAATGCACACCTTCCATATGTGAATCCAATGCATAAATAGGAAAGCATAAACGTCCTACTGTTCCACATAACAGAAATATACTCTGTACTTACATCGTGGTAGATAGCAAGGAAAGTATTGAGCAGAAACCTTCAATATGAACTGTAACTTATCTGCAAAATGGAAAAATCTGCTAAAAAATCAGCCACAATTTCTTCTGACTGGGTTCACACAGTTGTGGTGCATTAACGCATATACAGTAACATGCATCGTGTTAAGGCAGCTTGTTCATTTGAAATGGGTTGCCTAACACACTAAAATGCACCAAAAAAAGCACACGTACCTTTCTTTTGTGACACAGCGCACCACAATGCATGGTAGTACGTTACCATGTGTTATGCGCTGCAATGTGCTCAGTTGGAAAGGTGCATGAGGATGCCATTCAGAATGATGGAGAGATGAAAGCGATAACATAGCAGAGTGTAACAGAAAAGTTCCCATATTCCCCATAATAATCATTATACAATGTGTTTTCAATGTGATCTTTTTAATAAATATGAGAACAGGAAGGGGATATAATAAGGGGGGCGGGGGGCAGTTCTATGTGGCTACAGGCTTAAAGCTTTCACCTGGTGATCTGGCCGATAACACATCAGTCTGGGGGGAGGGGAGTGTTAGATGCAATAGCAGGTTTAAATACACTAACAAACTGAAGCTGAACTCCAGCTTTTTAAGCAGTTACGGCATTTTATTTTCCTTTTGGTATACATATTTTAAATAAATGAATGAAAGCTGACCATTGTAAGCACCCCTGTCAGTGTAAATAGTTTGTCTCAACCCGGTCACTGCTACAACTGCAGGACAGCTTGTTCTGTTGAAAAATACCAGACCTACTGGCTAGATCACCAAGTAAAAATAAAAGAAAACATGCCTAGCAAATAAAATGAATGCAGCCATCACATCTAAAAATTGGTAAGCTACAATATAATAAATATTTACTTTTTGGTTTAATACCACTTATTGCTGGCCAAACACTGGTAGATATTTGAAAGAAAGCTTCTATAAATTGTAAGGTCTAATGAGCAGGGCCGTCTGTTTCCTCTTGTACCAAATTGTATTGTAACTGTAATATCTACCTTCATTTTTTAAAGCGCTGCGCAAACTGTTGGTGCTATATAAATCCTGTATTATAATAATATATAATAAAAATATAAACATTCACATGAAATTCTCATCAGCATATTCAATGACATGATGAATGCTGTTTGAAAATACTTTTTCTTTCGCCATTCAATTTTGAAGAGAATAGACCACATTCACTGTAACAAATTTGTTTGAAAGTTTCCATCCCACACCTTCAAATTTTCTTGTCACTGCAGTCAAAAACTTACGTCAGTTTGACCTCACTAACAATTAGAAAATCAAATGAACATTCTTAAAAGAAAATTTTTTTGAATGAAATTCTGCTAGTACAGTATACGGCCAGGTTCAGTTTCTGTTGCCTTCCAGGGGACTCAGTACAAAGGAATAGGGTTGTCTTACTTTTTCCATAACAAATAAGATTATTGTGAACAGTTCAGTGCATTGCACAGTTTAGCTTACTGCTGACTCTTTCATTAAATGATAACTTCACCTTTTGACAAAAAATAATAAATGCAGGTAAAAAAATGTGCATTTATTATTTTTTTGTTGCAGAAGCCTGTAAAGCATTGCATCAGCGATCAGCAGAGAACTACAAGCCGACAGCCACCAAGGCTGTGGGGACTTGTAGTTCATTCATTTACAGAAGACCGTGAATGAATGATGCGGCTGTGTGGTCGGGGAGATCTCCTGCTATCTGTCACAACTGGGATGGGGGAGGGAAGGTAGGGGCTCTGCCAATCCCTCCACTGGCTTCCGATTGCCCAAAGGATAAAATTCAAAATGCTAACATTGACGTATAAAGCTGTTCATAATACTGCCCCAAACTACATCACTGATGTAGTATCCAAATACCACCCAAAATGTACTCTCCGCTCCTCACAAGACCTCCTACTCTCTAGTTCCCTGGTCTCCTCCTCCCATGCCCATCTCCAGGACTTCTTCAGGGCTTCCCCCATCCTCTGGAACTCCCTACCCCAATCCATCAGACTATCACCTACTCTCCTCACCTTTAGGCACACTCTGAAAACCTATCTCTTCAGGGAAGCCTACCCCGCCATCAGCTAATTACTGAAATCCTCCACTCTTCCTACCACTCCATCCCTCACAGCTAATTACCTCTTGTACCACTATCCCCTCCCTCCTAGATTGTAAGCTCCAAGGAGCAGAGCCCTCGAACCCCTCAGGTATTGAATTGTATTGTTACTGTACTGTCTCGTGTACTGTCTCCCATTATAATGTACAGCGCTGAGCAAACTGTTGGCGCTATATAAATCCTGTATAATAATAATAGGGGCCGATCAGTTTGTGACATGTTACATCCTGAATATGGGTGTAACATGTAACATGGTGAACTTATCTTTTAGGATTGTCAGCATAAAAAGTATATATGCTACAAGGCTCAACTTTGCTGCAGTGATAGTAACTTTTTGGAAACTCTGCTTGAAGCTATGGCTGTTGATAATCACTGGCAAACTGTTACTCTAAGGTACCTTACACACTGGATATTCTGTGTTCCAGGCCTATGCCCCTTAATGCATAGAGACCTAAATTGAAGCACTTTTCACTACAGAGTTCAGTCTCGTCCTGCTGCAGCCTATTTCATCCTGCCTAGTCTTAGGCTGCAGACATTAGGGAAGGATGCTGCACCTGTGCCTTTCAAGCACACTAAAATGCTGACATCTATCAAACTAAATACTAAGCAGACTAAGGCTGGCCATACACTATACAATTTTCTTACAATTTTCTGTCCAATTTCTGCCCAATTTCCTTTAGATTTACCTTTAACTATGTAGTGCAAGGGCCTGTCCAATTGGATATAATTAAAAGTGTTGTTTAGGTTTGATCTCATATTATATGATTTTTGGTAAATCTACAGCAAAATTCTCAAGAAATTTGCATAGTGTATGGCCAGCCTAAGGAGAGTTACTAGGCAGGGATATTCGCTGTCTCCTTTACTGTTTGCTTTGGCATTGGAGCCACTGGCCGACGCTATTCGGAGTGATTCTCGGATAGTGGGATTTCGGAGAGGTGAGATGGAGGAGAAATTGACATTGTATGCAGATGATGCATTATTATTTGTGGGGGATACATCTACTGTACATCATTAGCAGGTTTTATGTCTCTTATTAATACTTTTGGGTCCTACTCAGGTTTCAATACAAATTACAATAAGTCTGTTCTGCTGCTGGTTCACCCTCTCAGAGACCCCAATTGCCATCAATTGCTTCTACAATAAGGGTGATAGAAACATTTGTATATCTGGGAATAGGTATACATCGGGATATCTCTAGGTATGCAGATTTAAATATTAACTCACTCTTTATTAAATTTAGAGAGAAAGCTATAAGCTGGTGCAAACTACCGCTTTCAATAGTAGGGAGGGTAAACCTAATTAAAATTATATGGATGCCACAACTATTATATGCTTTACATAATGCTCTGGTGTGGCTCCCTATGTTTCATTTTAAACAGCTGGACACTATACTCCGTATGCTTATCTGGAAAAAGCGTAACTCACGCATAAAATTTGAAAAATTGCAGGAAGCTAAGGAGAATGGTGGCTTGGCTGTTCCAAATCCATTCGCATACTTTTTGTCAGCGCAGCTCCAACATTTAATGGGTTGGGAGGAAGATGTGAGTATTGACCCAATTAGGAAAATACTGTCTACGGTATTCCTAGGTAAACAATTGGTAGATTGTTTAGAGGCTAGGTGAATTCAGACTAATTAGGTAGTTCCCCACTCTAATCATGATAGACAAGGTTTGGAATAGGATTAAGGACCATTATCAGTACAAGGGGTATGCTGATTACACCCGAATCTTTCAGAACTTCAATTTCCCAGAGCTATTAAAACTGCAGAGATTTATTGAATAGTCTGAAAGAGGCCT